GTGTACAAACTTTAAGATCATTCAAATCAAAAGGATTTGATATGAAAATTAATATGATAATTTAAAACTTTGTCAAGGTTTATAGGTTACTATAAAATGGCAAAAACAGAGTGTTCAAAATCACAACCCCACATTCCCCATTTAGTATATTATCTGAGAGACAATAGCCATAAATATTGTTCAGTGACTGAACAGTATGTAAACAGCTTGGTTAGGCCAAAATATAAGAGGATGAGACAAGCCAGGTTTAATCTTGGATAAGAATTTAGAGTATATTTGTTGAGAGACAATAACCACAAATAATGTTAAATGGCTGTACAGTGCAGATACAAATAGTAGCAGATATGAGCTGCCATCTGGAGCTGCCAATAAAAAGCTACTTTCGGGGAAATCATATGCATGATCATGTGTGAAGATATGTGCGTGCGTGTATGTGAATTTGAGTGAGCAAACGCTCATGTGCTAAATTAAAGTGGCTCCAGAGACAAGAGGATTGCTCAGCGGTCATCAGCATCTACCGTTTGTGGCCTGATCCTGTACTACATGACCCTGCTTGTTCCTGATACCCCATTGCTGATTCTGGCTTGTTACCTGACCTTGCCTGCCTGCTGTTTTGGTACCTTCCCTGCTCACCCAATACCGACCCTGGCCTGGATCTGACTTGGTTCCTGATTCTGCGCTTCTGTTGCCCAGCTGATACTGTCTATTGCCTGCCTGACCACCTGAGATCTTGCATCCACCTGCTTGCTAGCATGCTTGCTGCCTGCTGTTCTGTGGCTGCTACAGTGCTTCTGCATCTTTCAGAGTATCCTACATCTGCATGCCTGCCAGTCTGTTTGTTGCCCGTGTTTCTGCACCTGCTGCCGTGTATTTGCATCGGCCAACTCATCAGTCCGCTTGTTGCTTGGCACTTGCTGCAAAGTTCTTCAGGCTAGAATCTCCTATAAGGCACATACCTCCAGGAGAAACAGTACATTAGATGTAAAGGAAAGCTCTTTTGTCAGCTTGGCCTCAACCAGGTACATAGCAGCTACACTCTAACCACCAGTAAGTCTGGCAGCCTTAGCCCCACTTTGTCAAAGCTCTTTGTGTTGTAACCCATCTCATAAAAGCTAATGGACATTTCCTGGCCTTGTTTGCCACAGAAGGGCAGATTCCCAGCTGCAATTGTTTTTTTACTTAGGTTGTATTTTTTAACTTTTATTTTAATATGCATTTCATGTTTTTCTGTATTGATTGGTGTTGGTTGTATACAGGAGAGACCAGCCGTGCCTGCAATTCCTCTGCTTTGCCAGCATATTTTTCTTTTCCCAGGCACTCATCAGCCAGTAGCATTTTTTTTTAATAATTTATTTCATTATAGCCAGGGCACTGAAGGTATAGCTTAAGGGACAAAATCTACTACTATAGGCTTCCTGCCTAACTACAATGCATTTGATAGGGTAGGCAGCAACAAATTGAAGGGGTAAATCCTACAGCCAGTGGGAAAGGACAGGCAGCAGCAAAAATTTAAATAGAAGTCCAGTCTACACCTATCTAAGCTTAAACTTGCTCCCGCTCCCATTCCTATACTAACTAGTCTGTAAAGGAAAGATATGTATACTTATCTAATCTAAAGGTAACCTGGTCTGGCCAGGTCACGTGATCTCCCCTGTGGCCAGCTTCAGGGAAGAGAGCAATGGCTGTAGTTCTGACATCACCCAGTCTCCTTCCCCTCCTCCACCACCACCACCTCCTTATGCCTCTACTTCAGCTCTCATTCACCTCTTCCTCCTCCTTCAATGTGATTGTGACATGGGAGACTCTGGGGAACTGTTTTTCACCCCACCAGTGTCTCATCATCTAGGATGCCTGCACCTTTTGGCCTTTTTCAAAAGGCAATTAAAATGACGAGCTGCAATGAGGCAGAGATTAGTGACACAATCCAACCTGTGTTACCTTGATCACACACTACATGACCTAAAAGATTGGATCATTCTTTTTTCTTGTAAGGCCATCCCTGCCCTTGTCGAGTAGAAATAGGCAGAACAGAAATTTATATTTTTTAGAAGTCCAACTTAAAGGGTGTCAAGGGTATACCTTGACACTCAAAATACTGTGTGACGGAAGTGTAGGTGGGACAGAACGCACAAAGAAGATGGTAAACACAAAGCTTTATTGAACTATGGAAGGTACTTAATCAGGGTAGGAAGGTAGCGTCCGGGTACCCAAAAAAGGGGGGAAGAGGGAGGAGGAGTCCAAACAGTTATAATCTGGCCCATGCTAGGGCGATTCGGGTAGCAATGTCCCGAACACTCGGGGGCAGTCCAGCTAGCTACGATACTCCAGACACGCAATAGGCAGTCTGAGCAAGTATGAGTCCCGGCACACAATAGGGGCAGTTCATGCAGCAATAATCCGGGCACACGATAGGGGCAGTTCAGGCAAGGGTAATCTGGACACACAATAGGGGCGGTTCAGGCAAGGGTAATCTGGGCACACAATAGGGGCAGTTCAGGGCACTCTGCAACATGCGGCTTGTAGGGACACTCACGGTAGGCGGCTTGCAGACACTCAGCAGCAGGCAGCTTCCAGGGACACTCACGATAGGCGGCTTGCATACACTCAGCAGGCAGCTCCCCAGGGACACAGCGATCAGCAGGCAGGGGCAGCTTCCCAGGGACACAGCAATCAGCAGACAGGAACCCTCAGCGGGTTCTGGCCTGTGGGGGTCTGGCCTCAGCCCAGACCCCACACAGCCATTCTCTTCTCCAGCAGGGGACAACAGGCTTGCAGGGACTCGGCAGGGTCTTGGCTGTGGGGTCTGGCCTCAGCTCAGACCTCACACAGCACCCTGTCCCGAGCGGGGCATGAACTCGCGGGCTGGGTCCCGCTCCAGCCTTCTTAATGCCGGAGCAGGATGCTTCCCGGTTGCCCTGGCAATGTCCGGCCCTGTGCCGCATTCCTTGGGCAACAAGGCACGCCCCCCTGACTCGGGCCACGCTCTCATGAGCGCGGCCTTTGTCTACAGCAGGCGCAGAGTGCAGGAAGCCTTGTGCCTGAGGTCTCCTGGCGGGGGGTCGCGACTCTCCACTGACATTGCTGGGAGAGGTGGGACCCGCACCACAGGGGCCGCTTCCTCCCGTCCTGCACAGCCTTTGAAGTAGGCTGTGATAGGGTGATAGGATGTGAGGAATCTGCAAGGGGGGAGGGAGGGGTGAAGGGACAGGCAGTGGGACAGCAGGCACGGGGGGGTGGGAGCACGGGGCACAACGTGACATACTGGTCTAGCCTTTTGCATGTGTAATGTATGGGAAGCAGACCTAGATCATCACAACCCAAATATCCACTGGAGATGCTACTGATAAATTCAACACATTTATTTATTATATGTTTGACCAAAAAAAAGATCAAACATGTTTTCCCCATTATTCTCACTGTTGCTGGCACTGTTGCCAACGTTTTCAAATCCTGGTAGCTCTCTTCCTTCTTCTTTTTTTCCCTTTGCCAAAAAGTCAATAGACCCCCTCTAAAAAAAAAAACAAAAAAAAATATTAGGCTTCAATTTAAAAAAAAAATAATGCTCTTTACCTTCTGTCTTAATATTTGTACTCACTGGCTCTACATTTAGGTATGTGCTTGTTGTCTTTAAAATGTGGTGCCAATGGCCAATTTACCAAAGACCCATGGTGCAAAGCCCAAATAGCTGCCTGGTATTCACCACCCCATGAGTTATAGACTTTGCTGCAGAATGGCTCCCAGGTTGGAGCTCTTGGGACAGTAAGACTGGCATCTTTTCTAGGCACCTTAAAAATGTGATTGCTGACAAAAAAAGTGTTTAAATATTTCGATCCATTTGCGCACGTTACATACTGTCTCGTCATCAGTCCATTCTAGCTGACCATGTTCACACACTGTTCTGGTGCTGTCCAATTTTTACCAAGCCATGTCTAAGAGCTATTACTAATTTTTTTAAATTGAATACACTGTGTGCACAATTACTAGGCAAGTTGTATTTTTGAGGATTAATTTCATTATTGAACAATTATTGTGCTCTTGGTCAATCCAAAATGGTAATAAACCTCAAACCTGAATATTTGGGAAAGTAAAAGTGTGGTGTTTGCTTTCTTAGGAGAATATCTATGTGTGCACAATTATTGGGCAACTATTAGTGTGCAGAATTATTTTGAAACTAAATGAAAAACAAAAATGTTGCCATCCCACTTGTTTATTTTCATCTGTTAAAGTGAGAATAATAAACAACACAAAATTTACAAATAAACATTTCTGACATAAAAAAATAAATAAATAAATCAGTGACCAGTATAGCCATCCTTCTTTTCAAAAACAGTCATAAGCCTTTCATTCGTGGAGTCTGTCAGTCTCTTGATCTGTTGGCGATCAACGTTTTATGCAGCAGCAACCATAACCTCCCAGAGAGCTGTACTGTTTTCCTTCACCATAACTCTCCTGTTTAAGGGCCCACAAGTTCTCAATAGGGTTTAGGTCAGGTGAGGAAGGGAGCCATGTCATTGTTCTTTCATCTTTAAGGCCTTTACTGGCTAGCCATGCAGTGGAGTACTTTGATGCATGTCCTGTATAAATATCATGGTCTTCTTGAAAGATGCACCTTTTTTCCTGTCCTACCTGTTCCTCAGTCCAGTGGTGTCCTGCTGCCATCTTCTTTCCCTTATGCCGCATCTTCATTGTGGGCACCCGGCTGTGACAGCTTGCGGCTTCACAGCTGGGTGCCCACTGCACATGCGTGAGATGTCCCGTAGTCTTCTGGGACCTGTCATTTGTCCCAGAAGAGTTATGGGGGGGGGGGGGGAGGAAAACTCAGCAGAAGTGGGAGCGGGTACCTGTCAAATTCGAGTACCCATCCCTGTTCCCCAAAGGTCTGCAGTCTCTGGTCATCTCCTGTACTGTTTCCGCAGTCTCTGGTCATCTCCTGTACTATGTCCGCAGTCTCTAGTCATCTCCTGTACTGTGTCCGCAGTCTCCGGTCATCTCCAGTAGCGTGTCCGCAGTCTCTGGTCATCTCCTGCACTGTGTCCGCAGTCTCTGGTCATCTTCTAAACTGTGTCCGCGGTCTCTGGTCATCTCCTGTAGTATGTTTGCAGTCCCTGATCATCACCTGTACTGTGTCCGCAGTCTCTGGTCATCTCCTGTAGTATGTCCGCAGTCTCTGATCATCTCCTGTACTATGTCCGCAGTCTCTGGTCTTCTCCTGTAGCATGTCTGCAGTCTCTGGTCATCTCCTGTACTATGTTTGCAGTTTCTGGTCATCTCCTGTAGTATGTCCGCAGTCTCTGTTCATCTCCTGTACTATGTTTGCAGCCTCTGGACATCTCCTGTAGTATGTCTGCAGTCAGTGGTGTATTTTGCCCTAGGCAACACAAAAAAATCAACCCCCCCCCCCCACGGAGAGACCCTAACACTAACCAACCCCCCCCCGACATTGACCAACAACACCGCAGATCCATCCCCACCCGAGAGAGCCTTCCAATACCACCGCCCCCCATACACTGGCCACCCCCCCCCCCCAGCGAGAGAGAGAAGACACTCACCTTCACAGCATCCCCAGGAACGAGAGTCAAGCTCTGCATACACCATCAAGCAGCCCACAGCCTCTCTCGGATCCCACCTGGTCCCCATGCTGTGTGTGCCCCTTCTTCCATCCCTTCTTCTGTGGCATGGCGCTGCCCCCCCTGAAAAATACTGCCCTAGGCAAATGCCTTGTTTGCCTTGTGGTAAATACGCCCCTCTCTGCAGTCTCTGGTCATCTCCTGTACTATGTCCACAGTCTCTGGTCATCTTCTGTAGTATGTCCGCAGTCTCTGGTCATCTCCTGTATTGAATCCGCAGTCTCTGGTCATCTCCTGTAGTATGTGTGCAGTCTCTGGTCATCTGTAGTATGTGTGCAGTCTCTGGTCATCTCCTGTACTATGTCCACAGTCTCTGGTCATCTCCTGTACTATGAATGCAGTCCATTGGTTCAGAAATATTTTTTTTCTTGTTTTTCTCCTCTAAAATCTAGGTGCGTCTTATGGTCTGGTGCGTCTTATGGAGTGAAAAATATGGTAATCGATATTGATGTAAAGCAGTCGTGGAGTGCAGGGTACAAATTAAACTCAACTGTCTTCATGAGTGGACCAGACACACCTGAGCTATCCCTGGTCGGAAGTAGAAGCAACAGAACCCCTCGATTCAGTCAAAATATGCCAAACTTTGGTAAGTTGTGCAGGGCACCCCCTAGATTCATAGGTGTATTTATAGAGTGGGAGGACCTTATTAACTACAGTAGGTGTTTCCAAAAATTAGAGGTAGAAGCCTGTGGAGACTTCCTTTTTAAGTGTATAGCTTTGCGTGCATATAAAAATAGTAATCCAAGTAAAGTTCTCATGGCTGGAGAGACAGCTAGCAAATGAATTACCGGTAACCCCAAAAGACAAACATCAATGGACATTGGCACCAAGATGGTAGTTATAGAGGAAATAGCGTTAACCACTTCCACACAAAAGATCTGAATAGTAGGACAGCTCCAGAGGACATGCAGAAATGAGGCTGGGTCTTCTGGTCAACGCCAGCATCTAGAGGGGTGCGATGGAAACATCCAATGCAACCTCTGTGGGGTGAAATAAACTCACTGAAGACTTTTGTACTGAATCAAATGGTCGTGAGTAGAGACCAATTGTTGCATAGGATATTCCCATATTTCCTCCCAATCCTCTGAGTCTAGCTCCAGCACCTCCCCGCACCAAGCGGAGAGAAGTCTATCAAGACCTTCATGAACAGACGGCCGTAAGGCCACATATATAGCGGAGATGGGTTTAACAAGGGAGGCATCTCTCAGTAGAGATTCAAAACCAGATTCTACAAACTGAAGGGGTTGACCATGAAATTGCTGTAGAAAGGCGTGGCATAATTGGAGGTACCGGAACAGATATGAATTAGGAAGGGCATATTGGGCTTTCAAGAAATTAAAAGTTCTAAGGGAACCCCCTCACATATCTGTTGTAAAAACTTGACACCCCTAGAGGCCCAAACTGAGGGCTCCAGAAAGAGGTAGAATTCTGATAAGGAGGGATTCAATCAAAGAAGGGCATGAGGGAACCAAATTTGAGTGTGTGGGGGGAATTGTAAATGCCAGACTTTAATAATTGCCCTCATGGACAGGAAAGGGGGCCTAAGCCTCTCTATATAGAAGATTTCATTGGGCTTCATAGGACCCCAGGGAAGCTGCCTCCAGAACCACAGCGGCATTAGTCTCGTCAGCCACTATCCAATTGTGAGCATGGGGAGAACAACGCTGCAATATGATAAGTATACAAATCTGGAAAAGCCCCCCTTTGGTCCATGGTCTCTGTAGCACCTTCAGTTTAAATCTAGCCCCACAAGAAAGAAACCATTGCAGTGTCAAATTGTTTAAAGTATTTCCACAGGATCCAAAATGGAGTATGGTGGATTATATACAATAAGGAGGAAAGTCATTTAATTTTTAATAGGTTAATTTTGCCTATTAGTGAGAGAGGGAGATTGGTCCAGGCTGACATACACTGCTTCACTCCTAAATATTTCACTACTGAGATCCATTGCAAGGGAATGTCAGGATCCGTCAGTGTCTTAGCTTCATCATCAATGGGTAAGATCTGAGATTTATCTCAATTGACCTTCAGACCTGATAATGGGGAGAAGAAGGAAATCTAATTCAGGGCCTCTTTAAGAGAAGGTCCTGGGTCATGAAGGAATAACACTAAATCGTCAGCATAGTACCACTTTCTCAACAATAGAGCCCACCCGTATTCCCTTTATATTAGAGGATGTGCGTATAACTTGTGCCAAGGGTTCCATGACCAATGCAAACAGAACAGGAGAGAGTGGGCATCCCTGTCTCGTTCCCCTACCTATAGGGAAGGGTTCTGAAAGATTGCCTCCTAGTTTTATTTGTGCTAATGGAGTACTATACAGAATATTTATCCAGGAACGGAAATACTGTCCAAATCCCATCACCTCCAGCACCACAGACATATAAGTCCAATCAAATGCTTTTTCCACATCTATCATCACCAAAATATGAGAGGATGACTATGTCGAAGGGTGTTGAATATGTGTTAACACTGCGCAAATTAATATCTGTTGATTTCTCTGGGATGAACCTGGTCTCGTCAATAATAACAAGCGAAGGGAGGAGTTTCATCAATCTCTTCGCCAGGACCTTGGTCAGAATTTTGAGGTCATAGTCCAAAAGTGAGATGGGTCTATAGAAGGAACAGAGCTGGGGATCCTTTCCAGATTTCCGTATCAGTACAATATGTACTTGATACACAGAGGGTGGAAGGGCTTGTTTGGTGTAACTTTCTTTATAGACTCTGCAGAGATACTGTGCTAGATCTTTGGCATGAAATTTATACGAGTCCCCTGGCAGCCTATCGGGTCCAGGCGTTTTGTTGGGGGAAAAGAACGGATAGTAGATTCTATTTTAGAAACAGAAATTTCTTTATCAAGAGCCCTCGCTTCCTCATCCAACAACTTCGGCATAGAGAGGCTCTGTAAAGTGTCCACTAAAGTGAAGGATGATGGTGGAGGGATGGGGCGATAAAGAGATTGAAAAAAAAAAAACTGAAATTCTTGCAATATACGAGAGTGTTCTGAGAGGACTTCAGTGGAAGATTTCAGTTGCGAGATTAAAGTGTGTTGGTGAAAACCTGCCACTAGGTTCGCCAGTAATCTACCTTTTTTGTCACCAGATTTGAACACTCTACCACCTGGGCAGCCGTGTCAGAGTGAGTAAAAGATCTAAAATGGAGCTCCAAATCCCTACGAGCCTTGGCTAATTTGGTGTAGCTGTCCTCTGAAGGAGAACACGCAAAATCAGAAGCTGCTGCAGTCTCGCCTCATTCCAACACAGCGGTACTTGCAGCAAATACCTCCCTTGCTGTTTTAAGGGCGGAAATATACTGGCCTTGCGTATAAGCTTTTAAACGTGCCCCAAACCAGAAGGGGGAGGCAGAATGTTCATTCACTTCCCAAAACACTGTTAGGGATCCAGACAATAATTCTTGGATTCTCCCATTGCAAATCCATTTAGGATCCAACCTCCAGCATCCTGGATGTCTCTTACCCCCCAAATCTAAAGTGAGCTCTAAGGGTGAGTGGTCTGAGATGCTTGCCGGCAGATAGGTGAAATTGCTCACCAGCCCCAGTGAGGGGTTGGATCCAAATGCCAGAGCTATCCGGGAGGCGGATCCGTGAGGAGCTGAAAAGCATGAATAGTAATGATCGTGAGGGTGTTTAAATCTTCATAATTCAATTAGACCAAAGATATGAGCCCATACTTCTTCTGCTGATATGCTTAAATCCAATAAGCATTCGCGTTTATACAGCTTGGAGTTGGGCAACATGCATAAAAATTATGATTTGGTGAAAATACTTAATAATTGTGCACACAGTGCACATGGGGATATAGCAAAAAATTGATGTGCACTAGATGTGAAGATGTGCAGTATTTTGGGTGCACATTTTTTTAAATGTTTTATTTTTCAAAGAATGCAGTGAGGTGTGGTGAAAAAAGGCAGTTCTTGGTTCAAGTGTCAGCAATAAGGCAGCTCTTGCTTCAAGTGTCAGCAGTAACTGCCTGATGTGCTTTACTTATCCAAAACTGAAAGTTAAATTCTAATGAACAGAAAAACATAGGTACAATGTTGGCAACTGAAGAGCTAGTTTTTCAGTCAGTTGATGCAGACATACAGTATATTGGTCCCTTAAAGAATTTTTGGATGTACAGATCAGTGTACACAGGCAGGGTTTATAAGAAAATGTAGCCCGACACTGTGATTTGAAGAAATCAAGCATAGTTTGTTTAAATCGTTATAAATTTAGAAAGAAATAGGCACACGCTAACAACTTCCTGGTTAGTTAATTCAGCAGGCTAGCATGACATACAAAACACATGCTGCACTGCAGCTCCAAGTTGAAGGCATGTGTGTTAGGTATGTCATCCTAGCCTGCTGAATAAATTAGCCTGATTGTCGGGTCGTCATTGGTGTATGCCACGATTTGCAAGTGGCATGGAGTAAAATCTATTGGGATATGCACCTGATGGTACATTTGAGTGGAGAAGAAAAAGGGGTGCTTTGAAGGGGATGGACTTGTCTGCATTTATTAGCTACATATAAACCCAACTACTAAATCTCATATAAGCTTTACCATGGTTGTATTATGTTAAAGCCTATAAGCTTTTAGGAAATAGGCCCCATGAAAAAAACACATGCAGCCTGATGTCACTGTTGTATATGTGGATATGTGGATAAAGACAGTCTGCAAAGAGTCTATAGAACATCAGCAGCATTTAGATGTATTAAAGTATGAAAAAGGTA